ATGTTTATCGCTAAATAATGTAGCCCATTGATCTGTAAATACTATACTTTGGAAGAATACAAATACCTCGAATACTTTAAATATTAACAAAGCCATCGGCTAAGTGATTAGATTAAAAGATTAATCAAAAACAAGGACATCTGTTATTTCTAAATTATTTCTATACCATGGTGGAACCACATGAATAACATGTTTATCTTAGTAGGTTAATTTAATCCAAGGTGCAAGTGAGATAAGATTTTCTAAACCACCTACCTATTACTACTATATTAGGGAAATTTAATTGTCTGTCATATTTTAATCATAGACGATCTTTATATTAAGAATGGTTCAATCTATTTTCTCCCTCTTGTCTAGGATCTGCATATTGGAAGGACTAAGATATTATTGAGGATATTAAAATTTAACCAATATATATTTAAAAGATTAGCTGAAGGTGCCATAGATAACTTTATGTAATTGCAAGGGAAAATAGATTTGAAAATCCTCAATTATCAAGGACTATGCATTACCAATCCTAAAATAATTTGTCCACATAGTGGCTTTTCTCTTTCGAATTTTTAGTGTATCTAATAATGATGCTTAGCATAATTTTTAGATTAAGCTTAAGGTTTATACCATATTCATTCTGCGTTAAACAGGCTGTATTTAGAAGATAATTAGCTTTGAATCAAGTATTTTTTAATTACTCGAAAGTTTTAAATATTAAGTTAAACTAAAAATAGTTTGAATAAACTTTTGACTCAGAAATATGATAAGAAGCAGGCTTTAAAAAATTATAGGAACAATATTAATGAGATATTTCCTAAATCAAATTTTGCTGAGTGTTTTAGAAAATTTGACAAGACAATACTGGATAAAGAGTTGGCACCTACACTATTTAGAAAATAATATTTCTTATTTGAATGAACTGTAATATAGCTTGCCAATTTGAAATTTATTATTTTATGTAAAATTAATTCATAGCTGAATTGCCATCAAATCCAATACAATCATTCAATCTATTGCGAATTTAAAGCTTTAAGCAAGAAATATTAATGATTAATTCATTCAGACAGTTTTAACTGATGCAACAAGTTGGATGGTAGAGACTATTATATATTTATAATCAACAATTGACAATTCAATTAACAGTTTTTAAGAAATGAGGGAATAATCTAAAATGAAATGAATTAATTAAAATTAGACATTGAGCACAAGATAGATGGACGAATATATAAAGATCTAGTTAAATCTATATATATATACGATTATATCATAAATATTATGTATCTAGGAAAAAGCACTTAGAGATGAGATATGAAAGCTTTATTATTACTTAACAACGAAAATTAAGTGTAGCAGAGGATGAAATCATTAGAGGAAGGAAAATACAATAAGACAATCCTGTATATCAGAAGTAAAAAGTATAAAAAGTGTACAATTATCTATCATGCTAAAGGACCATACAATTCCTTTTAAACCTATAAAATACACTCTAAGTAATTTCAGTAGGTGAAAATATATGACAACAAGAGAAGAAAGGAAGATTTTAAAAAGGAGGGAAATGAAAATATTGATATCAAGCATAAATTCTAACCCTCCACGAATAACACATATAAAGAAATTTAAACTAATTTTATAATATAAAAAATAAGTTCTTATAGAACTGAAGCTCACTTTTTCATAATATATCGATTTTATATCAATAACACAAAATGGACAATTCTCCTTGAGTAATCTATTCAATTTTGGAACACATCATATATTTGGGTCATTAAGTGGCAATGGAGAGTATTTGATAACTTGGGATAACTCATCAAAAGAAATATAAATTAGAAAATACACACAATTATGATTATTTATAATTTCAAATTTTAATTTATTATTTATTTATATTTCTTGAAATTTAATTCAAGAGTTTGATTTATCTATATAAAAATATAGTTTCCTTTCATCACTATGCTAATCAAATAATGCTTATGATAATACTTTTCAGCCGAGGATAATTTTGCACTATAAATTAAAAATTTTGCTGCTAAATCATAGTTTTCTAAATTTTGAATTCAAATAGTATGATTCTATTAGCTTATTAATTAATTTCCTCATTAGAAATATTAATTATTAAAAACATCAAAGCTGTGGTGTGACAACTCCAAAATGAAATTAGCCGACCAGATTTTATTTTTAACCAAGTAAGTAAAAGAGTTAACTGTATTAATAAGTAGTTTAAAATTAGAATAGTATTTAATTAATTTTCAAATCATCCTAGTCTTTGGCCAGTAAAAATTTAATAACTGTTAAATTAGAGAAATTTAAGGATGGGGTAAACTTCATCAAATAGATAAGGAATTTAAATTAAGGATTTGGTAAGGATTTTCTTAGATGATGCGCAAATGTAATTTGAACAATTTAATTGAACTATAAATAGTATGGAATATATAAATTAGATAACCTCAGTCTCATCTGAATCACTCATTATTCTTTAAGATTAATATTATTTATAGACCATGATAAAACTCCTATAAAATAATATGTTCATTAAGATGAGTATCACAGAATAAAACATGGATATAAATTAGGAATGTCATTTTTAAACCGTAAGCATTTAAACTCTGAACGAACTTTAGTCTCTAAAAGAAAATAGTCTCCCAACACTTCTGCTCGTAACATGAATAATTGATTAATAATGTTAAAATCTAAACTCAAATGGAGAAAATAATTTGGAAATTGTCAATCATCAAAATTGTGGTTATTAACAAACTCTAGACTTGTTGAATAAAGATATTTCAAATTTAATCCATCTATATTTTGATGAGAAATGTTGTTTAGCCTATTGTAACAAAAGCTGCCTCGACTAGGAGATGAGAAAGAATTATTAAATTATGTTTGAAAATCTCAATATTATAAAATGTGCCACTGTTAACTAATTAGTTCATATATACCTATGTAAATCCATCTCCAATGAGAACAAAATTGTTTTCAACTTATCAACAAAGTCTGAAGGAAAATTAATTTAATTTTTGTTTTTTATTAGCTGATTGGCACAAAATTAAAAGTACACTTTCCTGGTGAGCAATACAAGTTTGGAGATTTGCTAATTCAGAAGGGTATTTACAGAAACAAGATTCCTTTGCTGAGGAAAATATATTAATCACTGAGGTCAGAAAGCAATAATAGAACTAAGGAAATTGTTGAAAGAATAATAATCATTTTGAATCGACAATACTAGATTATAATCAAAGAAGTTTAAATTAATCACGTATATCTAAAACAGCCTTTTGCATCCTTTATTAAACGCTGTCCAATTAGTAAATATTATGAAAATTTGGAGATTTGCACTTTCTCTAAATCCTCAGGTAAGTGCATTAAGATTTCCTAATCATAAAATTGTCTATTACTCCTTCGAAGCTTATATTTTAATTTTCTTATAGATAATAGTTTATTGCTCCTGTTGCAATATCATATATATATTAAGAGCCTTAAAAAAATACACAAATTAACCAAAAATCTGTTGCTCATTTTATCATATTGTATTTTTGAGTAATATAATTGAACTAAATATTAATATTATTGAAAGCAAACTAGCCATTTCCTCTATAACAGAATCATGAATATTTATTAGATGATGATATATATGTATGAAACTGTAAAATATCAAAATTCAGATTGGTAAAATTTGTAATTTGAATCTTAAAATAAATTACAAATTTTTGTTATTCCTACCTTATTAAGAATTGCTAAAGCACTTTGTATTGTCGATTAAATAAATACTACAGAGAATGTACGAACTAGTAAGGTAGTATTCTAATTTTTAAATCGCATTAAACAAATGAATTAAGGATTCTACCAAACTACACTAAAGAATTTGAGATCAGCTATGCTTTATTTTTTTTCCTATTATATAATATAATGTAGTAAATAAGGAAATAACAAATCTTTTGTGTATTTTTAATTAGAGTGATCGAGGCTTTATTAGGATTGATGATGTTATTATTCTTCATTATTTCTGGTGAAGAAATGAAATAATCAATGATATCATATAATAAAATTTTATCTTTGATTAAACATTGTGCTCTAATTAGGGCGATTTTTAAATAGAAGCTAATGTGATAATTTGATTCTTGTTTTTTCATAGAGTAATAGTTAAATTAATCAGAATCATTGAATTAATCTCTAACCAAAAAAAGTTACTTCTTAGGAGAACAACATTAGATAATAATTTAGACTTAAATTTCACTTAAGACACATTTTAAAAACTGAAAAAATATGCCTACACTGCATGTATTCATTAGAATGTCTTACAGAGGGTGTGATCTTCATTTTATGATCCAATTTCAAAGTGAAAAATGTGCTTAGGTTCGGTTTTTTCTTAGAAATTCTTATAAAGATTACATAAGATTATTAGATTTACTATGCAATTGATAACAGTAATTGCTTTAACCAAAACAAATATTTTAGACAATGATTCTTGTTTGGCACAATAATTTATTGCAATAAGAAGAACTCTCATAACCAGCCTCTATGGTCATCTGAAAAACTCGTATTTTTGTTTTGTATTGTTGGAACTCTTCGATTAAGTACAAGAATAATAGTGGATTGAGAATTTACTTGCTGAACTAAATCTTTGATGTTATAAATTTTGCATAAATTATTGATTTACTTAACTAAAAATTTATTATTTAATTTAATGTTTAAACCAAAAATGATCGAAAAAAAAAAATTTTATTTGTTCTATAGGACACAAACTGCCAGTTGTTACAATAGCACTTGATCCTAAATTATCGAGAGAAGAGCGACTCTTATGCACAACATGTGTAGATGGTAACATGTTTGGATTAAAGATGATAATATAAATGGTAAAAGAGAATTAGGTAAGGATGATGGAAAAAGTTGAAAGTATCATAATGGATTACATAAAATAAGTTGAATAACTGCATAGCATTGTTGATAAAATGAAATCATTTGTATTCAAGTCGTGATAAATCTATTATAATATGGAGTTATGATTAAAATAATTTATGGACTTTATGATAGAGATTAAATGGACATAGTTTTTGGGCTTATGTTTAGTACTAAGTACAAATGAGGATTTTATCTCAGGAAGTAATGACCCAGGTATTAAATTTTGGATTAATAAAAATGAATGGATGTGTCAATAAACAATAACTGAACATTCCGGTTTCATATTTGGATTAAGTTTGAATTAATAATAAATAGAGTTATATCTTGCGGTTATGATAAATTGATATTAATAATGAAGCAATAAGAAGAGAATAATGAATGGGTTGTAATATAAAAGATTAAAGTTGGGGGTTTGAACATCGAATATGCTTTATTGATGATAATATTTTCACATTATGATATTGAATAACTGACTGCGTTTGAGATGAATCCTATAAATAAATAGTTTAACAAAACTCGAGATATTTCTATAAAATGTGGATTAGAAGATGAATGTTTTTTCCTTAACAATATATAAATTCAAAGTATATTTTATTGAGTAAGAATGGTGAATATATTAATTTAATAAGGAAAAATAAAATGGAGATTTTCTAATTGGATATTCCATTCATGATAGAACTTTCTGTATTTTTGGTGTGATGAGTAATGACGGAGAATATTTGATCTTGGGATAAAAATTCAAATTAAATATAAATTAGGATATGTAAATAACTATGAAAAATATATAAATAGAGACAAAAATATTTAATTTTTGAAATTAAATGACTAAGAAGGCAGCCTCAATAATTTTCATAATAACTCAATCTATCTTGTTGATGAGACTTGTAATTTAATTCAATATTATCCTTAAGTGTCTAATAAGTAGAGGTTTCCAAAAATTAAAGCTATTTTATTAAATTTGATTAGTGTTCTTTATTTTTTTTAATTAATAAAATTGGAAATAGAAATTCATTTTCTTCGATGATTTGGTTATTAAGGACACTTGGAAAAGCTAAAATGCAACATAAAGGAAAGGATACTAATAGTTTGTTCGGCTCAAAAGTCATTTAAATTCTCAAATTTATTTGAGCAACTCAAAAATAGTTAGGATTATTTAGAACATCTTAGTGATGGACTGCTTTGATGGTAATCTCCAACTGTACAAGGATTTTTCAATTTACATGAGAATTATATGATTTAATTTATAATAGAGAGATATACTACCTTTTAATATCTCTAAATTCAGTTTCCACATTCTTAGACTAAGTAATCAATTTATCAATACAACTAATCAAGCTTCGATTCTTTAGCAAATATTAATAATGAACTTAAGAAATTAAGGATGCACTTTATTTAGATATTATTCTAACTAGGCTTCTTTCCTTTATTGATTCTAAAAATAATAAGAGCAGTGTAATTTGAATAAATAGAATAGAACATTTAGTCTAATTTTGTAATTGAGTAAAACTTTAAGTTTAATAACAAAAAATCCATTTTTTATCTTGATGACTATAATACCAAATATCCAATTCAAATAACTATTTTCAATGTTAACAATTCACCTCGAAGCTAGTTTAATTACCACTTGCCTTACTACCATATCTAAATTATAAAATGAATATTTTCATATTATAAATCATTATTGATAAAAATATTAGAACTATATTAAATCTATAATTTACATTATATTATCAAAGCTGATCATCAAAATTAATAAATAATAGGATTTTGCAATGATAGAACATACTCAGTTTAAAGGCCTTATTGCAATTTATGCTTGCCTTGCCATGGTCAACATCTCACCAAGTTAACTTCTTAGGAACTTTTAAGTGAATGGATTTAGTAGCGAATATTGAGAACACAAAATGTGTAAAAGAATGTTTAAATGTGTAAATCAGTTCTTGATAGTCTTCTTAACTTCCTAATTCCCTTTTTAATTATAATGCATGATTAAAAGTTTATGTTCTTATTTGAACAATTTAAATAATCTATCGAGTAAACTAAATTTATTATAGATGAGATTTTTAAGAACTTAAAGAATTAAACAAATTAGAAAGAAAAGAGTGCTGTATTTAGTGTTTATTGTTAAATTATACAGATGATCTAATTATTTCAGGCAGTTCTGATAAAACAATTAAATTTTGGATGAAATAAAATTAATGGTCGTGTTACTAAACTATAAGCGATCATTCTAATAAAATCAATTCATTAAGTTTAAATGAACAATAGAATCAATTGATTTCTTGCTCTGAGGATGCANTATTAAATTTGATTAGTGTTCTTTATTTTTTTTAATTAATAAAATTGGAAATAGAAATTCATTTTCTTCGATGATTTGGTTATTAAGGACACTTGGAAAAGCTAAAATGCAACATAAAGGAAAGGATACTAATAGTTTGTTCGGCTCAAAAGTCATTTAAATTCTCAAATTTATTTGAGCAACTCAAAAATAGTTAGGATTATTTAGAACATCTTAGTGATGGACTGCTTTGATGGTAATCTCCAACTGTACAAGGATTTTTCAATTTACATGAGAATTATATGATTTAATTTATAATAGAGAGATATACTACCTTTTAATATCTCTAAATTCAGTTTCCACATTCTTAGACTAAGTAATCAATTTATCAATACAACTAATCAAGCTTCGATTCTTTAGCAAATATTAATAATGAACTTAAGAAATTAAGGATGCACTTTATTTAGATATTATTCTAACTAGGCTTCTTTCCTTTATTGATTCTAAAAATAATAAGAGCAGTGTAATTTGAATAAATAGAATAGAACATTTAGTCTAATTTTGTAATTGAGTAAAACTTTAAGTTTAATAACAAAAAATCCATTTTTTATCTTGATGACTATAATACCAAATATCCAATTCAAATAACTATTTTCAATGTTAACAATTCACCTCGAAGCTAGTTTAATTACCACTTGCCTTACTACCATATCTAAATTATAAAATGAATATTTTCATATTATAAATCATTATTGATAAAAATATTAGAACTATATTAAATCTATAATTTACATTATATTATTGTCTATGATAAAAATTTTTCTATTTAATAATAGTTTTAATTGAATTAGTAAAGGTAGATAAGCTGTATCAAAGCTGATCATCAAAATTAATAAATAATAGGATTTTGCAATGATAGAACATACTCAGTTTAAAGGCCTTATTGCAATTTATGCTTGCCTTGCCATGGTCAACATCTCACCAAGTTAACTTCTTAGGAACTTTTAAGTGAATGGATTTAGTAGCGAATATTGAGAACACAAAATGTGTAAAAGAATGTTTAAATGTGTAAATCAGTTCTTGATAGTCTTCTTAACTTCCTAATTCCCTTTTTAATTATAATGCATGATTAAAAGTTTATGTTCTTATTTGAACAATTTAAATAATCTATCGAGTAAACTAAATTTATTATAGATGAGATTTTTAAGAACTTAAAGAATTAAACAAATTAGAAAGAAAAGAGTGCTGTATTTAGTGTTTATTGTTAAATTATACAGATGATCTAATTATTTCAGGCAGTTCTGATAAAACAATTAAATTTTGGATGAAATAAAATTAATGGTCGTGTTACTAAACTATAAGCGATCATTCTAATAAAATCAATTCATTAAGTTTAAATGAACAATAGAATCAATTGATTTCTTGCTCTGAGGATGCATAAATATTAGTAATTGAATAGTATTTGCATGAGATGGATAGTAATAATAATAAACAATATTGTAAAATTAATGAAATTACAGTAGGGTGTGGGTCAAATAACTGTGATGGTATATTTCCAAAATAATACTTAAAGTCAAGATGTCTCCTAGTGAATAAAAATGGTAAAAATATGAATTTAATGAGAAGAAAAAATTGATTGAATTAAGCAGTAGTAATATTTATGGGTAACTAAGTAATGACGGAGAGTATTTGATCACTTGGAATAGCGAATGAATAAAATAAGGATCAAAATTATAAAAAAGAATTCTGATATATTTTAGAATATTTAAGTCTAATTATAATTCAAAATTTTTGTATGATAATCTTAATTTTATGAAAATATATATGCATTGTCTTGTCATTCATTTGATCTTTATGGATAAATTATTTATTTAATCCTTGAAAACATCCTATCATTCTAATAATATATTAATACTCAAATATTATAGACCCTCAATTATAATAACTAGAACTCGCTTATCGTTAAGAGTTGTTATAAAATCCCTAACATTGATTTTTAAACCCATTAAATTATAATGAATCTTAATTCTATTTGTAAGGGTTACTATTAATAATCAATTATTCCTTTTGGTGTTATTTAATTTATTTAATATAAATGAAGAGCTACTTATTTGATAAAGTCTTAGGTATGAATCTTACACATTTTGATCCCTTATTTAAGATATATAGATAGATTAAATCAAAATGAGATTTCTACATTAGTGTTAATGAACTTTTTAATCCTTGTATAATCTATTAATTAGTGATAAGTTCCAAAGTTTGAAAATATATTAACTCAAAAATGAAATTAAAATTTATTTAATCCAGAAATCAACTGAACTATTTATGCTAATCTAAGTGAATGTTAAAGATTTATTTTCATATATTGTTGAAGCTTTTCTTTAATAATGCAGCCTAATCTCTTTTCACATACTTATATGCTTTCATATCAAAAGAGAAATCCTTCAGATATCATAAATTTATTGTCGCGTTTATTCAATTTTTGTTGTACAAATTAAATATTTATTTTATTACTAATTATGATTAAAATATATTTAATATCTCATAACAATTTATAGAAACCTTCAACCTTAAGAATATGCATCTAAGTATTAACAGTATTTCCTGCAACATTTAGTATCCTAAATCCTGAGATTATTTGACTAGGAAAAGTTACTGTCAATATACTGTTTGCTAAATTGTTATAAATCTAAGTTTCATGGCCATCAAATAGAATGAAGATTTTAATATTATATTATCGATTATCTCCATCCCAAAACCATATTCTTAAGGTATTTATTTCATACTTTTACAATAACCCGAAGTTTATTGAATACCCTAACGAACTCAATGTATATACAGTTATAATATAAATAGTATCCCTTAAGCAACTTCCTTTATCACCTCCTACGAAAATATTTAGCATTTTTGATGTAATTAAGGTCCCTTTGTTTTGACTGAATGCATTTTTATATTGACCCCTGATGATTGATTTTATTTTTGCTTATTATCTTAAACAAAGCTAATTGGCAATGAGCGACATATTAATTAGAAGAATAAACACAAATGTCTAATGGATATGCTTTGCCATATTCAACAATATTAATAATTATGATATTTAAATTGATTCCACAATTCAATCTATATAATGAAATCACTTTTTAGGAAAAGAAAATGTTTTCTTAAAACTTTCAAAAAATTAACAATTCCCTTTCTATTAGATGTTGATCTGGCAAAATCTAACGAATGATATTTTCAATTTCTTTATTCTTTTGATTAATTTTGGCTAGCTTAGAAATGTTATCATTTATATTTATTCTAATATTTACAAAGGTTATGCTTGAATTTCAAATTATAAAAAAGTTGTTGATTAATAATTTTTTATGTATCGATGTTGAATCAAGATATCTTTTTTGCCTTCATCTATTTGTAACTTTATCGAAATAGATAAGGATTTGATTTCTCTATTTTTCCATTAAAAACACTGAAATCTATTTCATAAAAAGAAAGGTCATCTTTTCAGCAAAATCTTTAAGCACTAAAATGAACACCAAAGTTAATTTATTTTGAATTCATCATGCACATCTTTGGACTTGAATATTGTCAAATATCGAATATATCTTATTCTAGATTATTTGTCATATCAATTAATTAAAATGAAAAATTGATTGTATCTTTAAGTATTTGCAATAATAAACAAATAGAATATGAGATTTAGCATTTGGATTATACATCAAAAACATTTAAATTAGGTTTACATTTCCTATAGAATGGATATCTTGATAAATACAAATAAAAATTTAATCATTTCCCATCATCGAATTTTGGAGTCAGTTAACTTTTAAGGTAGTGAATAATACATTAAAATACTATCCTAACTACTCTATGTATTCCTAAAATAAGATTTGCATAATTGAACATTCGAATTTCAATGGATGAGTAAGTATGTCAATAAAATGGCATTAGTACAAGAATAAAATGTTGAATTAAATTTAGAAAGGTTTAGCTAAATTACCTCAGCAGTGTGAATTCAAATGCAAAGAATTCAGTCATTCAACTTTAAATTTGCTAATTTATTTTTAATGGGGCTGAAAATTAAATAGGCGTATATAAAGAAAGCAAATACATCAATCAGTGATTTTAATTTAAATAAAAATCGATTTGAGTAGTTTAAATTAAAGTCTAAAGTTCTTCATGCTATTTTTATTGTGGTTCTTCAAAACAAATTTCAGATTTAAAAAATGGTGGCAACCAGGATAATTCAGCAGTGTGAAATAAATTCAAAGATTTCAAACATCTAATTTAATTTTGATGTCTAATGTTGTCCATTGGTTGAAATTTAAGTAGGCGTTAATATTATCCAATTATAAATTGGTGATAACTTAAAAGGTATATATATGCTTGTAATTTGTAAAAGCCATTACATTCGCTTTTGTAATGCAGATTCGATAATGCTAAAGCTTTTCCTAAATTTCTAATAAATACCATTGAATTATTGATCGTTTAGAAATATTTGCAACGATTATTAGAGAGAGTTAATAAAATGAACAAGCTGTAGCTTTAGAATCGCTACATTTACAAATTTAATTCAATATTTTATGTATCAAACAATTTCACACAAATTTTAATATTAGAATTGCTATATTTACAACAATAATTTGTAATTAAAAAATTATTTTCCTCAAAAATAATCGCGAAAAACTTGCAACATTAAAAGTATTAGAATCGATAAAATCTTTCCTCAAACTGTAATACTAGAATTGTAATATTAAATGGATTTGGCCAGTGAGAATTTGTTTTCTGCAAGCTGTTAATAAAAATATTAAATCACCAAAAAGTACTTTCACCTCTTTCTCTTAATTCTTTTAATCATTATTCTTGTGCTTGTATTTTTGAATTTGCTAATAAATTTAATTTTTATAATTATACTTTTAATCTTATTTTAATTTAAATTTTCTTTGATCTCCTATTTTTGTATTTTCAGATTTACAATTTCTTCAGCATAATCATCGCTAATCTTTTTTAATTCCATCAATTATTATTATTGATTTTGGTCAGCAGTTTATTTTTCTAATTGAATTTATTCTAATTCTAATTGTTTCAATTTTAATTCTTTTTGAATTTAATTTATTTTTTTCAATTATGCAGAGTTAGTTTAGAATTTTGCAATATATTCATCCAAATCAGAAAAATCTTCATCTGTAAATAATTCTTCTTCTTGGTCCTATGAATATGTTTAGTTATATATTGTGGCTTCTTAGAGTATGAAATCTAAGATATTTAATAATCAATACTTGACTGCTATTAGGAAGAATCAGATTTGAGACATTAACTGTAGCTTTAGAAGCCTATAAATCATAATGAATATGTTTATATATATCCTTAGCAATAGCTTAATAAAGTATCTAATCTTAAACTTATTAGTTATTCTACTATTCAATTAAACAGCATTGAGGTCACTTTAGCTTAAAGTTCTTACAATTTCATCAATTTAATCCTCGTCTAAATCATATATGGAGTCTTCGATAATATTATTCTCTTCCAGTTTATTTAATTTAGATTCCAAACTTTTCAACTTATTAATTTATTCATGCAAAAAAGAAGTATATTTATAGTAAAATGGTATATATTAAAGATTTTGAATAAATAACTATATCTTTAATATCATCAAGTATTTTAAGAATTTGGTATTATTGAAATTTTTATGTTAAATATATTCTTTGATTGAAATCTAAGTTTTTATTTGGTATTCTTTCCATCTTTTCGTAGCCTCATGTAAAGAAGAAGTATAATAGATTAGAACGTTCTCACAAATACAATCAATACAAACTTTCCTAGAATTAGAGGTTTAATTAGTATCTAAGTTGAGTAAAATAATCTTTTTTCCATGTTTATTACATTTTATATTTAAACTAGGAGTATACTATGATTGATTTTTCAAGAAATTTACATCATTTTCACAGTTAGATGAATTGGATTTTTGAAACAGCATCATCTTTGCTTTTTTCATAAATTATCATTTCGGATAACGAATCCATAAGTTGAATATATGATTGATTATTATTGAAAGACAATAATTGTGATTTAATAGTATTAAAAAATTAGTTTTCGTATTCTATG